TCGCGATAAAACAAACGGGGCTCTGTTAGTTGAAATTCGGCGGGGAAAAATTTGAAATTCATGACGGGTTGTAAAAAAAAACGAAAACGAATACGACGAGGAAAGTCGGAGATTGATGGCATAAAAAAAAAATTAAACGAAAAAGTACCTGTTGTTCTAGGTACTTTGAATTTACTACATTGAAATCGAAATACGAATTAAGAAAATATAGATGTATGTTTCCCTTTTCAATCCTGATTTTTAACTCACAGATATGCAGGCGTTCGCGGTAATCCCAGATTTGCGTATGAATGTACCGGGGCGTAAGAGTGATTCTAGTGCGCTATTGTGGCCGGGTTATTGTCCGCATCCTTTGCTTTGACACCGTCATTTTCCGCTTGGGTGACCCTAGATCTTATCACCTTCTCTCCCCCTTTTTCCCTTTTTTGACAAACCCTTCACTAAAAAAGCTTAAGGTCAAAAGCGTCAGCATCAGCATCAAGCTTATATTGTTAAATTAATTATAACACAAAAATTATATAAATTTTTCTTACTTATCGTGAATAGATACTCTGTAATAAGACTCAATTAATAACTGGAGGAAGAAAATAGAAATTTTTTTTGGATATTTCATATTCTTCAACTAGATAATTTGAGAATGTTTGTTGTTAGGTTGGGTTGTTATTAAATGCAATTAGAATATAAATCGGCTGAGTTTTATTCAATCACATCATGGCTTTATACCAAAAATCCCATTTCGTTCTGCCAACTGGTAAAAGGATAACGCTAAAAGATCTTAACATCAAAAACAGTTTTTTAAAGAATTATTGAGTAAAGCGATTATGCAAGATTTGATAACAAACTGAGTATCAAAGAAAAATTAAAATTGAGAAAATGGTTTTAAATAGATTTTTTGTGATAGATATATTTGTGGAAAATTATAGTTTGGCACAACACATATTATAGAAGGATTTGTAAAGATACGTCATTAACTGTCCAGGAAGTAGATGAGGACTTCTCTCCCTAACGCTAAATTGTAGTTGCTTCAGCAAAATGTCAAGAATTTGATAAAGCTGGTGGGTTTTATGCACAATTCTATATCACTATGCTAAGTAGATAGAGTCTTCCAATAACTGGTTTGACATTAATCCATCTGTTATTTGAGACATAAATAACCATTTCTTGCTATGAACAGACATTAATCCACCATACCTTTCACCACATTAGTACGCACAAAGTCGAATGTCTTCCAAACATCAATGTTTCATATAACTCGACACTACTATGCACTTGCATTGTCCCACATAAAATGCAACATAGCTAATAGTACAGGCATTGGCTTGTTTGGAATGGAAAAGTTTTGCTAAGAAAAAGGTGACGTCTTTATGACAACCCTGACTTTTCGGTCGTCTTAAGAGACTCCCGGCTAAACCCGAATGTTTCTGGTTCCAGGTCTAGTGTTAGTTCCAATTTTTTGTTCAATAATATACCACAATCTAACGTTGAATAACAATTAAAACTAGAACTAACACTATACTTAGAACTAGAAACATTCGGGTTTAGCCGCACGTCTCTCAAGACGGCTAAAACCGAATGATTCTAGTTCTAAGGTTTGTGTTAGTTTTAGTGATAGTGTTAGTGCGATACTAGAACTAACACTAGACCGAGAACTAGAAACATTCGGATTTAGCCACACGTCTCTGAAGACGGCTAAATCCGAATGATTCTAGTTCTAGGTCTTGTGTTAGTTTTAGTGATAGTACTAGTGTAAAACTAGAATTAACACTAAACCTAGAACTAGAAACATTCGGGTTTGACCATGCGTCTGAAGACTAGAAACATTCTGACATTTTACATTTTATGTGGAACTAAGTAAGTAGGTATTTTTAGTGAAATTCACTTCATTCAGCATCTTGACGGGTTTAATCATAGTTGTTGATGTGTGTGCAGAACAAGGAATTCTGAGTTTCTAGTGATCTAGAATCTCTTACTTCTAAAGATTTGTTTTTACATTCTCATATAAACAAAGTGTCGAAACCGATAATATTGTAATCGTGCAAAAATTTGATCTCGAGATTCTTATGGATCGATACACTTTAAAAACCGCTAAATCAATTATGGCTATTTTTACCATTTTGTCTGGGTTAGTCTTTAAGCTAACTTTTCTTTATGTCAAAAACATCAAATTTTTGCTTCTAAATTTACTTAAGGTGGTAAAACTGATCGATGAGTTAAAACCGATTATAAATTGTCTTATTAGGATTAGTTGTGTGATTTTCTACATAAAAAATTGTTTACACCGTTTTTATATTTTGAGCTATATATTTTTTTTTGAGTCAAAATCATCAAATTTAAGTAGTTTTTACTATTTACATTCATTAAGTTGGCAATACTGATAAATGGCTTAAAAACGATTGTGGCTTATAATTTTGTGGTTAATTATGAGTGTTTTTTCTGTAATATCTAACATTATCTTACTTTTTGAGCTATAACATTTATTTGTCAAAAATTTCAAATTTTGGTATTTTTGTATTTTAACTTGATTATGTTGGTACAACTGATCGATATCTTAAAACTGATTATGAATTATTATTTTAGGCTTAATTAGAAGCGATTTTAGCATTAAAATTATTCCCCATCATTTTCATTTCTTGTATTATAGTAGTACATTCTTTTATGTCAAAATCTTAGAATTTAAGAAATTTTTAGTTTTTAACTATATTAAGTTGGCAAAACTGATCAACATATTATGGATTATTATTTTAGGATTAATTAAACGTTTTCAGCATAAAAACTTATTTCAATTTGATTAAATTGCTGAAACTGATTATGATTTTTGTGTTCATTCTAAACACTTTGTATATGAAATTTACACAGCAAAATCAATTTTTTTGCTGAAAACTTATACAATATCATTTTCAATAACATAAAATAATACGATTGGTTCGTAAGAAACATGCCACATTAACCACGAGTTGAAACTTGGTGGTATCTGGTGGGTTCCGGATGAAGCCGGGCGTTTAGTTCCACGGTACGGTGAGTTCGAATTCCCTCCCGCAGTGTATAGTAGATTCGGACGCAGAGATGGGAGAGAACACGACCTCCAGCAGGAGAGGAGTTAGTTCGTTTCGAAAAAACGAACCGTAAAACAATGTAAAATAGGAGGTGTTCGGATGCCAGAGGCGCGTCCTCCTGCGGCCGCGCCAATCGCACGACATCCCGATGAACAAAAATAAAAGGAACGACTCGGTTGCGTAGCCCGATTGGTGCCCTTCCTGCAGAAGGTCGCCGTGCTATACCGTCCGGACACCCTCTACTTCTTCGCCGTCTATCGATTTCTCTCGAAGACCGAGAGAAAAGGTGCTGCTGCAGGACGTTTTACTCCTTTTGCCCGTTTCGAAGTCTTGCCGCCGGAATCCGGCACATCGTTTGGCTTAATCGATTCGAGCAATTTATTTTGCGATTCGATGAGAACATTTTGGGACGACGATGGGAATTGTTTGAGTTCTTGCATTCCAACCAATCGTTTAGATTAATTTTTTTTTAACAAGTTAATACGTTATGCTAATTTAATTGGTCGTAGGTGTCCGTTGTTCATCTTCGGGTTGTTGATCTTCCAGGGCCAGACGCAAAAATCAGCTCGTATCGTAAACTTCCCTTCCATCGGGTTGATTGTTATTGCACCGGTATTTGCAATTCATGACGCCGATTCAAGCGTCGATTAATGAGACACGCAGCCCGCGAGTGCTGGGCTACGGTAGTGTAGGCAGTTGGAAGAGTAAAGCATCCTTGTTAAATTATCATAGGCCCGGCTCCGAACGCAATCAATTACCTAAGGACCTCGCCGTAATGGCGAACTCGTTAGCTTCGTTTACGCGCCCTCCGCATTCAGTTTTGCATTCATAAATAAATCTGCATTAACGACCCGACGTTTTTCCTACTATCCAACGAATCCTATCGATATCGAAACCTATTCCGAAACGATTTCGACCCTTTTAAACGTTTTCCGTCCGAAAAGAGGATATCCAGGGTCGTTAAAAGTGGCCCTAATTGACCGTTTCACGTCTTTTGGGGCGCAACCCTTGTCGTCATGCTTTTAAAAAACCGTTTTACGACCAAAATCCGCGACGATCCGATCACATGTGCGTGTATACGTGTACAGACTATTTCTATTTTTTTTTTCGAAGGGGGTTTAATCCAAGCATCCATCATCCTACCACACCCACACAACTGCCACATAGAAAAGTGACAAATCCGCACAACTGTCGCTTTATACACCAAGTTTACTTCCCGTTTAATAGCCAACCATATGACTTTCTATATGTGTCCCTAGACCACGCATTGTAAGCACCAGAGTTAATATCGGGTATTAAGAATCGTTAGTATAGAATTGCGACCCCGAATACACCAACTTATAAATACCACTTTCAACTTTGGATGCTGATTGGGTTTGATTTATTAAGGTCGCGTTAGTTATTTTTAGTTTTTACGCTTAATTGAGAGTTATGTCGTTATTAGTCCATTCTGTCGGTTAGAATTATGTTATTTAAAAACTATTTTCCTTTCACTACTAATAACTACCATATTTTACATATGTTTAGAAAAAAAAAGTTGAAATCCAGTTATAATCGGTTTTAATTTGTATACGAGACCGCAAACGCCGATTTTGCCGCGGAGAGGAAATTAAATTAACCGCTTTAAAAGTTGTGCCATGCGATAATTTGCATTGGTAATGCGTATTTGTGCAATTGGGAACAATACCGTGAAGTGGTCGTGCGTGCCGCACTTTATTTATTGCCGGGTAATTAGCTAAATAAGATTGGTAATTGGATAATAAGTTATATAACCTACAATTAACATTAATTAATCATTTGTCAAGAACCATCAAAAAAACGTTTTTAAAACATCAACCATGACGTTACTTCATAAACCATGGAACCTTCGTCATCGCGATCTCACCCCAAAGATGCACCATCCGATGACGACGATGATTATATGAGTTGCACGAGCAGTAAATACTCATATATTTCATTAAGACGTGCGAAAACATGTAGACAACTCGCTACGAGATCGGTTATGACAAATCCTTTGGAGAATAGGAATTGGGACGAATTTGAAGTAATTTCAACAATAAATAATACCTTATTTTTATTTACTTATTTTTTAAGGGTCGATTATTAAGAGTTTTAAACTATAAATATTACGAAAGAGATATGAAGACTTTATATCATAACGCTAAATATAAAGATGGTAAAACCCAATCTGATCCTTATATGGTTGAAGGCGTCATGCAAACGATTATTTATGACGAATACGATGATAGTAGAAGACCTATCGATATAATTAGAACGACTCTTCCAACTAGACAACAACCCCAAGTGGTTTTTGTGCGTGGAAGATTGTGTAGAAACTTTTTTAGATTCTGGTGGAACGTTGTTACATTTAAGTTTTGTAGAAGTAGACAGCCGAGGGTACCAACAACACCGCGACTATCAGTACCTACAGATTAAAAGTGTTGATATAATTTTTCACTAAAAATATTTTCCCCTAGTGTAAAAAATTAATCCTCTTTTTTTAACCGTTAATGTAAGGAAACGTTTGATAACTCCTACAACATGTAATTTGCATGTAAACGCCTTCGCACGAACATGAACTAATTAACATAGACCGAGAACGATTTTGTTTGCAAGAACGAATAAAGTAAAGTGAGATAAAAAAAATATTTGTTGAGCAACAAATATTTGTTATTTAACAAACTTATTTTTATTTTTTCTTTCACTCGATTTAAATCCTAATTTCCTATTATTTTCATTTTAATTGAATTTTATTTTTACTGTAATTAATTAATTATTTATTAATTTATCACTTTTTATTAAAGTATCAAGGACTAAGTGCGTTTTCATTATTCTACTCAACCCTAGATGGCGTGAAATTACATAAATGATACTTCAAAGTTAATTTTGATCGCGAGTTATTGTATTTTGAATTTTACTTTGTATTTCGGTAATCACGATCTTCTTGGTGTTAATATCAAAAACTTGAACAAAAAGGAAGTTTTAGAACTAGAAACATTTGGTTTTAGCCGTGTGTCTCTCAAGATGGCTAAACCAGAAACTTTCTAGTTCTAAGTGTTACTTCTAAGTCTAGTATTAGTTATAGTTTTAGTCTAGTGTTAGTTCTAGTTTTATTTCCATAAAAGATATAAAGAACATAAAGAGTTGTATAAGAATATACAACAATCTAAAGCTGAATACGCGAATACGGTGATAATTTTGCAGTACAAAACAGTGGAGTTAAAATAACGTGCGAGATGGGAAGATGACAGTAGAGTAGAGGAATACGATAATTAGAGAAATAGTTAGTTTACTGGTGATGAGCAGATAAGGTAAGGGAGAAAGTGTGGTTATTAAGGGACAGAAATACAATGGATGAGAAATGGGAATAGGAAACGATTTGAAGACAAATGTAATGATGAGCAGAAAAGACGAAATATACCAAAAAGCTTTGAACAGCTCTTTTGACGAAGAACAACCTGCCACGAATGGGAAGGTTGTAAGAATTCTTCCAAGAGGACATAGTCGTGGTTTCTAGTTCTAGGTCTAGGATTAGTTCTAGTTTTAGTTCAAGGAAAAGAAAATTCAATTCTCCTCGTTATGGCAGTGAAATAATATCTCCTGATGTGGCTACTCTGCGAAATATAAGAAAATTAGAGAGAAAATGTTCATCGCTCAGGTAAAGCGAAGGAGACAATTTGTACCAGAACTAAGAGGATTTGCATTAAGTGTACATTGTTATTCTGTACGAGCCTATAATTATGTACGAAAAGCATGGCAAAATTTATTACCGCCTACATTGTTCGCTATACGAGTACAAACCTCTACAAAAAAGATTTTAGTGAACCTTCTTGTTGATAAAACGGTTTTACAAGAACAAAGAATTTTCCATGGAAATAGATTTTATGGACCTTGTAAGTAATACATATCATAATCATGATAGTGACAACATTTCATTGGCAAAGAATACTTTTGGTTTTTCTGGCGGTATGTGTGAACTGAGGTTGGAAAGGATCCGTGGCTAATTTCCGAATTAAAAATCTGGCAGGTTCAGAAAGAGCCTTTTTATTTAAACTCCTGGAAATATTCATTAATTAATTTAGCTGTGTGCCATAACACTGTGCTGCAAACTTTAATTTTTGTTGTGTACAGTAGATCAGTTGAGTGTTTTTAGTTAACTTTGGGTTGCTGATTTCAAATATGCCTTCCATTTTTTTTGTAACACGTCACGTTTTTTTTTCAGGTTGCTCACGGCTGCGAGACTTAGGAATTTCTAGGGAAACTATGGATGCAATGAATTTGATATTTGGACCGGAAATAAAAGACACCAAAAGATAGACCTTATATCAAGGTGCCAAATATCAAATTCAAATTCATTACATCTATAGTTTCCCTATAAAATCCTATGTCCAGCAGCAATGAGACACCTGAATAAAAAAAAGTGACGTGTTACAGAAAAATGAAAGACATATTTGAAATCAGCAACCCAAAATTAACTAAAAACACTCAACTCATCAAATGTACAAAAATCTTGCAGCACAGTGTACTTAGAGAGCAAATTTTAATTTTTCTACGGACAGTTTTAAGCCAATATAACAATATGATAAAACTTGCTTTTAAGCAAAAGTGTGCACTTTGCATTATTATTGTTAAAACAAAGTATCCTTTCACATTTGATGAGTTCTTTTCAGACAGGAAATTTTGTGGACTTACTAAAACTGCAAGATCACTTTCAATTTGAATTTTATCTCGGTTATTGTATTGCATCGATGATTGTTTCTAAGATATTATATATCGGATTTGATTATAAATACTTCAATAATATTGTTAATTTTCTATTGTTATTGCCTCGGTCGCAAGCAACCTCAGCTTTTACTTCTATGGCATTGCTAAATCAAGTAATATCTCTTTAACGGAGTAAATTATAGAGCCTCGACCGCAAGCGACCTCGGCTTTTGCCTTTATAACATTGTAATAAATTAACCAATGTCTTTTTAATGATGTAAATTATGGAGCCTCGGCCGCAAGCGACCTCGGCTATTGTTTTTATGACATTGCATATTGTTGTAGATCAGCTAATATATATTTAACGATCTAGATTATTACCGCAAGCAACCTCGGCTTCTTTTTTGATTCATTTCTTAATTTATGACAATGTTTTTAAGAAAGTATTTATATCTATTATATCTAATGTATATTTATAAGAATAAATTTATTGTTTTAATTAACAACTTCCCTTTCCTCTTTATTTATTTTTCTTTGTAACATTGCTATTCTAAAAATATCGGTCGTAAACAAGCCAACCCCCATGGTTGTTTATTATTATTACTTTACCCGTTGAAAAACATTCGACTACATTAAACCACTCAGTCTGAACACGTACGTTTAAGTTTCCTTCGACTTTGGGCTCTCCAAATACCGTCACATGCTACCGTTGATTATCATGCAACCGATGCTCTTTCAGGACATCTTTAGAGACGTCCGTGTATGAGTACCTACGTGACTGTTACAAGGTCAGACGCACCCACAGATATGGCGCCCAAGTGCTTATTTATCGTTTTTTCCTTACTTTACCATAGATTTCAAAGCAAGGTAAAATGAATTGAAACAATAAAAACCATGGAGATGGAATGAAATCGAAGGATAATGTTTCAGTGGGAACCAAAAAGAGTTTTCTTTAGTCGGCAAAGTTTAAACCAACGATGTCTCGAGATAACGTCAATATTCTTCTCATGTTCTAACGACCACGTACGGAAACGTGCAAGGACATTAGACGCTCCTTTGGCATCTAAATAGTATGTACATTGATACAGCGATGACGGAGGTTTTCAGTTTGGATTGATGTGTGAAATGTTACTAGAATAACTTTATTTCTTATGAAAATCTTCAATTTAAATCGACCTTCTTCCGCTTCGTTACTTCAAAAAAATTCGTATCTAAATATCCATAAAAAGATCTTTTTTTCCTTCAATCTATTTATACAAATTGTACCTTTTGGTCGTTAAACCAACGCGGTCGATTTGAAAAATTGTAAATTAATTACTGCTGCTTGTTTAGCAATAAGACGAAGAGGTGGGAAAAAAAGGAAACGTGGGAAGTAAAAATAATAACCGACGAGTAAAGAAACGACGATGAAGGAATAAGGAAGGAAGGGGAGACGACGTTCAAGCTATGAAGGTAAAATAAAAATGCAAAGCAGCAGTAATAAGGGACAATCTCGAGAACAATCTACCCCCCTTAAACACACTCGTTGCGTCAAAAGGTGTATTAATAATGGACCCGACACGAGCCGAGGACAGTTTGGGGCCGCGAGGGTGGCGTCGCCTTCGGCCCTTTGAAGTCGTTTGATTAATAAGTGTGACGGACACGCACTTTTCAACTTAATCACGCCGTAAAATGAAAAAAAAATGCCATCATTTGCATAAAAGTCGGTGCCTGTTTTTCTTTTCTGTTGTCGACGGCTATTATAGTACAATTTTTAGTTACATCGGGTGTTCTCTTCTAAGAACCGTGGGATTTTACAAGAATATCAAAGCGATTGTTGGAAGATTAAGAACACTTTAATTTTACGACAACACTAATTGTTAATATAATTTTGAAAACGATACGTTTAAGTCTCACAAAAGATGGTGGTGTGATTTTAGCGCGCCCTCTACAATGTCGTGGGACGAAGTGGATCGTTCTCGTGGGGCCCACCCGATTTTATACCGCCACAAAAGGGGGGCGCAACACTTTTTATTCAGAGAGGTTCACAGTCGCTCATCTGCAAGTCGGATAACACACCAAATTATCAAGTTAATATGGCCATTCTGTATGTCCGCGCCGACGACGACGGGCGCAAGAGGTTCGGGACTTGTTCGCAGGGGGCGCACCGTCGATGTAGACTGCGCCTCTTCGTTGAGAGGGCGCGCCGCATTGATATTATAAGTATGTTCAACGGCTGTATTCATTTGTAAACTCGGTCTCATGTATGTTTCATACATCGAAGATGTAAGCTAAAAAGTATTTAAAGATTAAAAAAAAATTTATATGATTGTTCTTTATGGAAGCATCTTATTGAATCTGTAATATCAAGAAATTCCCCATAAAATTGACTTATCGTCATCGAATCGTTCAAAAATCGTTTTACCTCCACCCTCGAGGTATTACCCCTACTCAAGAAAAACGTGCGTATTTCCACGCGGGATGGTTGTTTAGAAAACCGAGCACGGCGACGACGTCACGGTCTTTTCCCCTGTTGCTCCACAAGGAGGATATTTCAACGATCGGATCGTCAAAAATCGTGGAAGGGGGTATGGTAGGTGGCGTGAGAGACGCTGTAAAAATACAGAAAAGCCGACCCTGTCCGTAAACCTGGAGATAAGCCCGCATTCGCATGTATGAATTCAGCACATCATCGGCCGGTATCTCCGTATAAAACGCGTACTTATCATAACTTAGGAGGGTGAACAACGTCCTGGATTCTCTACCTACAATTCTTTTTTTTTGCTTCTACTCTCTGTCCACTATTATTACTCAGTATTGTTAAATATTCGAGTTGTTACAATTTATATTAAATTTTCTGTGATATTAACGTAATAAATCATAGTAAATTAACTAATATTTCTTTAAAAGGCTTCTATCTTGATAACATTGTAACAAATCAGCTAAAACCTCTTTAACGAAATAGATTAGGCTATTCCAGGTTTGGTCGTACTTCATGGATTATTCTTAGAATCTAACAACTCTACACTTGAAAATGAAAAATCCGAACAACTTCCAAATTGTACCAAAATAATAGCTGGAAGCAAGAAACTCAAAAGTTCTCCAAGTCATGACAGAAATCATCTTGTGGGATGATGTAAATAACATTGAAAAAGTCCAAGGACGATATTGGCAGATATTAAGAAAGATGATTTGTTTACCAAAGTCTTTAACACCCAAGCAGAAATATTGGGTAAGGTTAATTTTATTTACAAATATAAATCATCCAGGAAAGAATGTTGAGTAAGTTATTAGTTTTCTTTTGAAATGGCAATTATACCATAAAAAAAAAAGTTATGTAAAATTAATTTTCTTTTGAAATGTCAATCAAACCGTGAAAGAACGTTAGGTAAGGTTAGTTTTGTTTATCAGAATCTCAAGTAAAAAGATGTTATGATCGTTGAGATCACTAAATTCTATAGATTGATTCAATGGCCAAATTCTTCGGCCATCTAGTACTATTCTGTCATGACATAATACAAAGAAAACGTGGTATTCTAGGCCCAAGTGTATCGTCACTAAGAGTATCAGATTGCTTTTTGATGAAGCCATCCATATATTTATTTCTACAAGATAACATTTTTTACTCACTCAATTTAGATAGATATATAGATTCTTTATTGTGTTAAAGACTTCTCTTACACTCGTCACCTAGTACATAAAATATATGGCAAAAATACAACAAAATTCGTACGGAATCAGTTTGTAAAAATACAATGCAATTAATAGGAGCTGATTACAGCAAGCAAAAAATAACAATAAAACAAAAAACAAATCAAGATAAAATAAACAAATAAAAGTTGCAAGATGTTACAACAAAAAACGCACGATTACAACTATGACAATGCCATCGGCAAGTCCTCCAAGTCATTGAAATTATTTTTGAGGTATTCATCAATACCATAGAAACTTTTAAATCCAAGGTAGATTATTATTATTATTAACAGCTTGGCGGCGTAATAGTTCACACCATCTCGAGCTCTCACAGTACGTGTAAAATTTATTTCAATATCGTTATTATTTCTAGTTTGATAATTTGTTATAGTTCACTTTACGATATAAGGTTGGATTATTTTTAATGTATTGTAGCTAATCTAGAATATACATACACGGAACAATCAGAATATTCAGTTAAGCGAATTTGGTTCAGCAGCATTCGGCAAAGCACAAACCAGTCATGACTCTCAAGCATATCCTTTGCATTCGAAAAGTGCAGCGTGAGCAACATAGAATTGCGTAGGACACTTGTGGGTATCAAAGTGTCAAAGGGTACTATATTTATCAGATTTCTAATTGCAAAAATACATTTATTTAACTTCCTGACCAAGCTCAGTACATGAGCCTTCCACGTTAGCTTGGAATCAAGTATCACTCCCAAATATTTAATCGGCTGAGTGAGATTTGGAGGAATTTGGACACATTCACCGCAAGATTATTAGATTCAAACCAAGATAAAAGTCTTCGGGTAAAGCTAGACACAGCCTGATCAAGAGTATTTAAATTAGGGCAGGTATTTATAGTTGCTGTATCATCCGCATAAAGTACAACCTCCGAGTTTTTTGGCAAGCAGATAAGCATGTCATTGATCAATATCAAAAACAGCAACGGACTGGAAGATACTCTGTACTAGGATCTTTGTGGGATTCTTAACTGTAATTTTATCGGAAGTCTGGTTGTTGATAGAAACTGAGTTCGCTCCGAAAGGTGAGAGACTTAAGCTGGGTTCAATAAAATGGTGAGCTTTTAATTTTAGGAATAATAACTCAATTCCAAATTTAGGAATGGAAGCTCTATAATCTGATCAACCTCAGATACTAGCTGTGCAAAATACTTCCCAGGCAAGAATAAGTTAGTATTTTATCTTTAACAACTTTATTATAGTGACAATGAATCTGTTCATAACCTAAAACTAAATGAAGAAAAACTGAATTGCTATGTTAAAAATTCATGATTAAAATATATATTCCGTTAAAAAAAATCTTTTGTGAACTTGTTCTTGGGGTAAGATTATACATGTAAATGGATAAATCCGCAGGTTCTTGAGGTTGAAGGGTGCCACCTGCGTCCGCACGCAGCCGCTTTGGATCCCGAGAAGAAGTAATTTCGCTCGCGTGCCTACCAAAAAGAGGCATATTTCTTCATTAGGGGTTTAAATTTTCCTCGCTGCATACATAATCAATCAGAGCAGGACGAGACGTTCGTCCTTCCGTTCTGTTCCGGGCCCTCTGGCCCCTTTTTCTTCTCGCCGTAATTTTAATATTTAATTTATTTCTAATTTGCATTTGGAATTTATGCAAGAAGGACCACGGGATGGCTTGGATTCGCCCGGTTCTCCCGGCTCGATTAACAAGGATTCGGATCCAAGTGGATAACATAAAAAACAATTTTTTTGAAATTGATAAACACAAATACACTCATATTATGGTTCGAAAGATTTATTTACTCAGTTCATCTAAACTTTATTCAGACAGAAAAAAAAACGTAAGATATAAAATACGGTTATGGAGTTATGTTAGATGTTATGTGAAAAGTTTTCTCGTGCATTCTCTGGTCCGGAACAGTGCCGTTAGAAACGTCCTCGCGTGTCTGTATGGTACCATCCTCTTTTGACTTCGATCCTCTTCGTTTCACCACATGTATGAGAGAGTTCATAAGTGAGGGTCGCAGGAAATTTATGAAAATATATACGGCACTTGTCGGGATGAGAAATATTTTTTCCAAGTGCGGGGAATTTCGGTGTTATCCCACGGATTTTGGGGGTTGTGAATGTCGCAGCAGGACTTCCAGATGTGAATTTTTCTTCTTCTATAGCACCTGATGACGTTGCGCCTAAAAAAATAAAATAAAAAATAAATTTTAATAAAATATTTATAAACAAAATTATTAAAACAAACTTTGTTTTTTAATCTCTATAAAATCTTAAGACAATTAAGCATTTTTGAAATGCGAAAGAAATAACCGCAAATTTAAGATAGTGAATTTCCATTTTCCGAGAGAAACTCGCCGAGTGACTTATTTATTTAGAAAAAGGGCCGACGGCGGAGAAAGCGTCGAAGAGTGGAGCTGGATAAATCCTATTAGGCGTCCCGGAGAAGAGGAAGGCACTCAAAAATTGTAGAGGGGCATTAAAAGAAAAGTTATTGCAAATCTGCATAATCCCGATTTCATAAAGAGGCTGGCACCTCTCGGAGACGGCCCTCTGGGGCGCGCTTCGTCGGACATATACGGCCATTTACAAGTCAAAATAAGGGTACTTAGCGGACTTTTTAACTGTTTACGCTCTTAGCGAGTTAAGGCTTCTAGCGCCATCTGCTACGATCCTCGAACTTTCACGAAACGTTGGTAAATTTCAAAAGAATTTTTCTCAAAAAGAAAAATTACTCACTATATTCTATTTTTTTTTATTCGGGGGAGTGTTTTCAAATTATAGAAGTAGAATCATTGTACTAATTATTCTAGGTTTAGCGTTAGTTCTAGTTTTAGTTCAATAAAAATATGCAACATAGTGATATTTTATACTAACTAGCGCTACTTATCACCTACCATCCGTCTTAAGAGAGGTACAGCTTATTACGACTCTTTTTCTCGTCGATGTTAATTATCAGAAAATTGAACGACTTGAAGAAGTCGTTCAATTTTCTGATAAGGTAATGATATTTATTAACAATTTTATTAATTGCAAAATTAATTATCAATCTTTTATATTGACTTGTCTTGGTTATAAATACAGTAGTCGTAGCCCACTTTTTTTACTAGGGTTTTTTTTAATATTTTGGTTCACAACAATTTGCCCCCGTGAAATCTACATTTCTGGCATCCAAAGGACTGATTCTCATCACAAGCAAGCATTTGCCCAACTCAAAGTTTTACGGTCTCTTAACTAAAACATTGTGTAAATAATAACATGATAAATTCGTCTTATATTAAAGTCACAAAACAATAACTCTTTGCCACATACTTTTCCAGGCTTATAAACTACCGTAAAATTTAACATTTGTAAAGTAAGCGCTCATCTTAAAAGTCTAGCGTTTTAATTACTCATTTGTTTTAACAAAGTCAGAGGATAATGATCTGTTTCAATAATAAAATGAGTTAAATATATGTTATTGCCCAAACTAATGCGACACATTCTAACTCGCTTGCACTGTAAGCTTGTTCTCTCAGTTAGCTTTTTGCTTTATTGTCGTCATGACGTTGAGATAAAGTATCTCCTATTCCTCGTTTTGAACAATCAGTTTGTACTATAAATTTTCTTTTATAATCTGGAGCGTTTAACACTTTACTACTAGTTAATGCTTGTTTTAAATTATTAAATGCATTTTCCTTCTGTTCATCCCATTCAACCTTGTTTTTGGCTCCTTTTCGTAAAGCGTCTGGTAAAGGACTAATAATTTCTGCATAATTTGGTATGTAATGGTTATAATATCCAGTTACCCCTAAAAAGATTCTAACATCTTTTTTTGTTACCGGTCGTCGAAATTCTTTTCGACCTTGAGAACAACTTGAGCTTTTCCCCACTCACTTTTCTTTGCCTTTATTGTAAAACCTGCCTTATCCATAGCTGTAAACACAAGTCGCAAATGTTTCAAATGATCTTTCCATGTCATTGAATGTATTGCTATATCATCTAAATAAGGTTCGGCAAATTCGTTATAACCTTCCAGAATTTTATACATTAATCTTTGAACAGAAAATGGAGCGGATTGAAGTCCGAATGGCAAAGTTATTGGTTCAAATACTCCTCGATGCGTTATAAAAGCTGCATATTTACTTGCACGCTCAGTCATTCCAATTTGCCAATAAGCTCGTACAACATCTATCAGACTTAAATATTTTGTGTTACTACACCGTTCCACACAAGCTTCTATGTTAGGTACTGGGTGTTGTTGAGGTATGGAAATAGCATTTAAAACTCGATAATCTATTACTGGTCTTGGTTCTTTACCTTCTATTTCTATTATAATCATCGGCGACGAATATGGACTGTCACTTGGTTTAATTACACCTAAGTTAAGCATTTTATCTATTTCTTCGTCTATAATTTCTCGTTCTCTCGGAGATTGTGAATATGGCTTGGTTCTGATAATCCTTTCTTCTTTCAAAGCAATATCATGTTGAACCAAATTGGTTCTACCAGGGGGACTTGAAAATAACCCAGGAAATTCTCCAATTAAATTCTCCAAATCCCTCTTTTGCTGTTCTGTAAATTCACCAATTCCCTTTAATTGTTGTAAAACTTCCGTAGCCAGTAAAGTTTCTTCCACTTTCATATATATTCATTTCTGTTTCTTCTTCCCCCGAAGATGTTACGTACATTGCAACTATTTCAGGTTTTTCATAATAAGGTTTCAATAAATTTACATGTACAAAGGTTTGCTTTCTTCTTCCAGTTAGTTCTTCTAATACGTAGTTGGTATCTGATATTTTCCTTACTAATTTCTTTGGACCTTCCCATTGCATTTGTAATTTATTCGTTCTAGCTGGCTGATATATCATCACTTTATCCCCTTCTTTGTAAATAACTTTCTTTTCTCTATTTTGTGCTTCTTTCATACTAATTTCTACAATTTCTTGCATGTTTTTCAATCGTTCAAGTAATTTCAATACATAACTAACTACTGGTTCGTGAGTATCTCTGCCATTCCATAAGTCTTTCAACATTACTTTACAACACTTAATGGAGATCTAATTTGCCTTCCATAACACAACTCTGCAGGACTGAAATCATGTGCCGCACTTCTTAGGGCAAATAATGCTTGATCAGTGTACTCGTCCCACTCTTTTCCATGTTCGTAACTCAAAGCTCTCAGTATTCTTTTAAACACTCCATGAAATCTCACTACTGCATTTGACTGAAGATGGTATGAAGAGCTGTGGATTGTTTTAATACCACTTTGTTCCAAAAATTCTGTAGTTAGGTTGCTAACAAACACTCTCCCCAAATCTGTCTGTATCTCTGAAGGGAAATCAATTCTAGAAAATATGCACAATAATCCTTTTACCCACCAGTTATTACCACTCTTTTTCTCGTCGATGTTAATTATCAGATAATTTGAAGAAGTCGTTCTTCTTCAAAATGATATTGTTTATTAACAATTTTATTAATTACAAAATTAATTACAATCTTTTATATTGACTTGTCATATTATTTATAATTTTCGTTAATAATTTGTTTTATAGAAAATGCAGTACCACTTTTTTAAGTAGGGTTCTTTTTTAATATTTTGTTCACAACAAGCTAAACGGAAAGTTTGTAGTTCTAGGTCTAGTGTTAGTTCTAGTATAAAATTAATTAATTTGAGTAAATGAATTGGTGTCACACGGTTTTGGAATGCGTGTATAATGTTTGAGTTTGTGTGAAGCGTTTCGCCTCGAGCGCCACCTGCGGCTCCGTGGCGGCTAATTCGCCGAAACGCGCTGACCGTTTTTAAATTATGCTAAATTATTATAATGAAATGTATCCGAGATGAATCTCTGATCGGCGCCGCCGCTGCGTTTCCTTCCGGTCGGTAATTACCGTGTGGAGCGCTTAATGATAATGATAACAATAACGGCGCAACGAGCGCAGTGGCGCGCTAAGCTACATCTACATCTACATGGCGACATATGCTTCGCAAAACATCAATTTATCAAGGAAACATTCTCACGAAAGAATTCTTTTCTATCATGAATTTTAGATCAAGAAAAATTTTGGTAATCCTCCAATTGACTACCAAAGTTGTAAGATCCCCCTTTATTTAAAGTCAAAATACCTCTCTTTTTTGCGTTCTCATTCGCTTCAATGGTGATCAGCATAGGAAAACAAGAGGTGAGTTTTGAATACACTTAGAAACCGGGGCTGTCGTATATAAAGGAGCTTTGCAGCTTCGTACGAAGGGCGAAGGTAAACATCTGAAAACATCGAACATCAAAGCCCATCGACTTCCAATTTATTTTAACAAGGCGACCTCTTGGTCGGCGGCTGTAGCGACGGCGACGTCGGAGGCGTCCCGCGCGTCCTCCAGGAACTCTAACAAGGTGCCGGGCGGCCGTATCAAAGCGGCTCATTGCCGAAGTCATCAGTATCCATAAGTTATGAGGCGACGGCGGCCGCCTCTGCGCCGAGTGGCCAATTCTGGAGGAGCTTTCGGATCGAGTGGGCCCCGCGGTTGCTTTTTATTATCGGCGCTGACGTTAAATTAATGTGGTGTCGGCCCTTATATTATTCTGCCACTGACGCGGAAGATGTTTTTTATCGCCACGTAAAGCCGTCGGGACGCCTTCGACGCCCTCCCTCTACACACCACGGTTAATAAAATTTTATTGACCGTTGTGCCAAGAACAACACACCGACGATACACACTCGGCAACTTGACGGAAACTGAACGTTAAACGTTTACGGATCGTTGCATCTAAGAAACACATTAAATCTTCTACCATAAAAAATATATTACTAGATCCAAAACGAGATAAATAATTTTAAATCAATTTAAAAATGTTACAAAAATTAAGAATCTAGGAACCTATAAGAATAGTACTGCACAATTAGAGGACAAAATCATTTCTGGCAACTTGCTGCTCCTCCCCAAGCATTGAGAGAGTTTTTCAACTTGCTACTGCCACCCACAAATCTCTACTAGACTCAATAAACAAAGTTGAAATGTTTTGTAAACTTTCATACTTATAGACCTCATAAATGCCACCTCAAGGATTTGTCAGTTTCAGATTTAAAAGCTCTGTGATGATGACCTGAAGGCGAATTTGCTTTCTGCTTTGCCATCTTGGGTGCTAGTGATATTTGTTCACGATATCATCAGTTTGCAAAATGTTTTTAGACTATGACGATATCC